TGAGACGAGGCAACTTCTGGCCGTTTAATGTTGAAGACAATACGCAGCTTGGCTGGGCTGCGGTTCACCACTGTGTCCCAGCACCTGCTACACATGGGGGTTTGATAAATAATTGTGGAAAGCAGGCAGGCTTTAGATGGCGGCAGTGGTGTCATTATTTGAAAAAGCCTGAGCCTTAGCATCAGAGGACTCCTAGTCTGGCCCTGCCACTAATTAGTTATGGGAAAGTCACTTAATATCCTTGACCCCAGTCGCCGTAGCTGTAACAATCCACCTCCCAGGATCACTACCAGGTGCAAGTAAGAGAATGTGCACATGAAGGCCCCTTTGTAAACTGTACAACACTGCAGAAATGGAAAGGATGATTCTCAGTGATGACACACATCACGGCACTTGATTCGACCCCCAAAACAAGCCTACCGAGCTGGTGAGCTATTGTCTCCAATTTACAGAAAGGTAAGGCGCAGCTCTTTTCCAAGGGGGTTAATGTCTTGCCTAAGCTCAAAGGACAAGTCACAGAACAAGAAAGCCCAGAAGTTGGGACATGAACCTAAGTCAGATGGTGCCAAAGTCTGAGATTTTTCTCTAGTTAGGAATATTATTACAGAGGATTAGATTCAATGGGATCTGAGAGTAAAAGTAGCATTTTTATAGCCAGAAGGAGAAGGGGATTCACCCATGACTCACCCCTGTGTCAACCCCTAGATATCAGGAATCTATATAAACTCCTTTCAGGGTCTGACCAACGTAAGCACTGAGCCCATGTTTATTTAAAAAGAACACAGAGCATTTTTTCCATATTAAAATCTTTACCCATAATACTCTTCACAGCACAGTGCAAGGCAAACTGAGAGGAGGCTGGATAGGAGACGATATTTTAGTGTTTGCTCCTAATCTCAGCGCTGCGAGTCATTAAGCCTTTACAAGGCAGGGATAGGAACCATTGCTTTGCGGATTTGGAAGGAATTCCTATTATGCTATAATTCCAGAATCTGAAGTACATCTGAAAAAGAGGTCAAAATGACTAGATTTTTCCATATCTCCTGCCATAGAAAGGTGTCTGCTTTCTCTATAACTTCAGACGTTTTGCATCTCCAAACCACACTCGCAACTCCACCGTCATTCCCTTCCTTTGTTGTGACTGGAGCCAAGGGCATCCGAATCAGGTAAGGCTTCTCTTGTTGTTTCAAACAAACCTGACACGGCAGGAGATGGCAGGAGAAGGCGTGGGCAGCAAGCAGCAGGATGATTCGATTTCCAGCTCTGGGTTCCCCTCCGCCCTTCCTGACTGTCATTCACACCCTCTGATCAGAAGCAGATTCTGGCTGGAGCCAGCCAGGTTCTGTGGCCAGTCATGATGGGAAAGTGGCAACGTGCTCTTGTTGTTTTTTAATTTAAGTTGCACAGCTGCTCCAGGATTGAGTATACTAAAGAGAGTTACTTTTCCTCTGAGGTCTTTGCTTTTACTTTTTCCATGGGTATTCGGGTACTTAAAGGCAGGTAAGTGGGCAAGCAGACCTCATGAGGAGCCCACATGTCACACAGGCCTCCAGCTGAAATACAGGGGCAGCTGGATCGGGGGGAAAAGTCCTCTTGCAAAGAGCACTGAGTGAGAGTCAAGAGACCTGAGTTCTAATGAACTAACTGCAAGGAAAGAGTGGGAGATATGATGTGTCCAAAGGCTGGAGTTCCTTTCCTGATTCTATTTTTACCAGATAGAAGGTCTTGGCTAAGTCACTTCACCACTTTTTGACTCTGTTTACTCATTTATGATAAAAATAGTTAACATTTATTGAGTATACTGTAGGTGCCAGGCACTGAGTTACTTACATATATTACATATATTACACATATATGTACACATACACAATACACATACACAATATATGTATTACACATAATACATATATTACATATACTTACATATATTAGCTCATTTAATTCTGAAAACCTTACTAAGTAGACATATTATCTCCATCTAACAGATGAGCTACTGAAATGAGCCTCACTGAGGTTAATTAACTTGCTATTTGTTCCATAACAGAGGAGCTCAGCTATGAACCAGAGCTTACACCTTTAACTCATGCTAAACTGAGAGCCATAAGAACGAATACCTCTCTCTCGGGGTTTCCTTGAGGGTGAAATGCTTGAACACGGTCCACAGGTTTCTAGAGCACACAGTAGCACGTGAAAAGGATAACAATTACTGTGGTATTTTCTTGCCTGGTCTTTCCTGGCCCTATAGGAAAGCACTCTCCCAACCTATTTTGCTGACAATGTATGGGATGAGGAAGCAGGCGGAAGCAAGGTGCTCATCCTATAACCAAGGCCACAGCACATGACTGCTTCAACAAAACCTGGGAGGTCAGGGAGCACTTTAATTAAAACATCAACATGACATGAGGAGAGACACAAGCGACAGCTAAGCTCTTAGGAAGATATTTTATTTGGAAATGTTACCATCTTGTGAGGAGGAAGGGACAGGTCTTGGCAAAAACAGGAAAAGAGCTGTTGACCAGGGGTCTCGCTTGAAGAAGGAAGAACAGAAGAGAAGCACAGACCCCAAAGAAGCTACTTTAGTACCCTACGTCCACCTTGCCCACAGCTACAAAGCACGTGCCTATGACTGACACAATTTGATTCTTATAGCCATCCTCGTGAGTGAATTCAAACACCACCCTCATTTTACAAATGAGGAAAATGAGGGCTGGAGAAACCAGTGATTCGCCTAATTTGCAGAGTTAGGGGGTGGCAAGGCCTCTGAAGAGTGTCTCTTTCCACTGCGCCATGTCTGGGAGCAGCCCACTAGGCAAGCCAGGGGTAATCTCACGTAGAGAGAGTGAAGAGCAGACATCCCTGTCACTGGGCTATTCTTATCTTAACCCCTCCCTGGTTATACTCAGCTTCCTAAAAGCATTCGATTAACTGATCTTCCAAGTGTCAAAAACACCTGTTCAAACCTTAGTACGAGATACCGTGCAATGGAAAAGCCAATCGTCCTAAAGAACTCAAGCACACACTGTCAATTTGGAGCAAATAGTAAAATCAGATTTTTATATTTCTCAGTTTCTGAACACATAGATCCTTAGTCCATCCACCCTTAAGAAACTACTACAGCTGCCAAATGGACTGTTTTTCTTTTAAAAGTTGGAAAGAATTCTACGAGCCTCCCTTCCCCCTCCCCAATTTCAAACTGTTGATTGTGTGCTTGGTTTATGATGTTATTAAAAAACAAAGAGGGGTCTCAAAGTTTACAACCAACCCCCAGAGTGGGGAAGTCAAAAGAAAAAATTCATGAACTGTGGTTCATGTACCATCAGCAGCTTACATTAGATCCAGAGCAGGCAAGAGTAGCTGACTGCCTATCCCCGTGAGCAGTTTCTTTGGATAGGAGAGCCAATCTCCCATCCAAAATCGAGTCTGCAAGATGGAAACAGGGCTTTGAAATAAGCCAGGCATAGGCATGAAGTCCATATTTACTAGCTGTCGCCTTTGAGCACATCATTTAACCCCTTTGAGCTTTTGGGTTTCCATTAGTATAATGGGGATACTACACTTATTTCACACATAGTGTTGTTAATACTAACTTCCTTCCTTCTTGGCTTGCTAACACAGGCCAAAGATAAGTTTCCAGGCTATGATTAAGACAAAGATGACTCAAGGATCTGTGAGAGAGAATTTATTATTTTGATGGGCATGATGCCTATCTCTTTTGCCCACATCGCTGGGATTCAAGGGCAAAGAACAAACAGAAAATATTAGACGTGTGGAACAGACCGCCGTGAAAATGTATGACCCACAAATTACAAGATGGGATTACCCTCAATTCCTCTTCCCCTCTCCTGCCCCAGATGGACACATCTAGAACAGGGCAGTGACCTTCCAAGCAGAGCCCAGGTGGGCCATACCCCAATTCCCACGAGGCTACCATTGCTCAGAATAATTCTAGGCCTTGTCCAAGTCTGTGGCACATTTTGCATCCTCAGTGAGGACTTCATCCTTTAAGGGAAGATCTGGATGTAAATCTGGGCTTTAGCTGCATATGAGTAACCTGCTCAGCAATTAAGAGTTTGCAAAGTATTTCAATATTCATGATCTGGGCCGGCCCTGTGGCTTGGTGGTTAAGTGCGCGCGCTGCAATGCTGGTGGCCCGGGTTCGGATCCCGGGTGCGCATCGAAGCACCACTTCTCCGTCCATCCTGAGGCCGAGTCCCACATACAGCAACTAGAAGGATGTGCAGCTATGACATACAACTATCTACTGGGGCTTTGGGGGGAAAAAGTAAAATAAATAAAATCTTTAAAAAAAAAAAAAAAAAATTCATGATCTCTTTTACTCCTCACTGCAACACTATGGCTATGAAGCAAGATGGTCACCCCTGGTTTTAAAGATGCACAGCTCGTCAGTGGAGGGCCAGGTCTAGAACCTTGGTCTCTGGATTTCAAGTCCCATTTTATTTTCACTTTGACACCACAGCCACTGGATGAGAGAACTAAACGATATGCCAGAGAACGCCATGGCATTATCACTGTCACAGCAGCACAGCGCCAGTGTGGACAGACACAGAAAATGCCATGCTATCTGACGAGGCATTTCTCCCTCCTCTGGGGTAAGGGACGACTAGGTTCAAATCCCAACTCTACCACTTCTTGACCAAATGGCCTTGGGCAAATGACTTCTACTCCATGGACCTCAGTGTCTTAACTTGTAGAAGAAAGATAAGAACAATATCTAGGATTCATTGGATTGTTGTGGGGATAATGCAGGCAAAGTATTTCAGAAGAGTGCTTAACATACTTTTATAATACTTTTAGTATATACGTGTGTATATATATTTAGTATCTTAAAACACTTTTAGGAACAGTATTAACTGCATGAAATAAATAGTGTTAATTAAATGAAATTCTACTTGACCTGCCAAGCCTCTGCTGGCTCAGATATTCTAGAATGTGACACAGGGGAAGTCAGACAGGTTGAGCCTGGCAGTCTGGGTGCTTACCGCGAGGATGGCGATGACAATCCCCACCGCGCAGAGCACAGCATCATTTATCGTCTCTCCAGTTTTCAGTGGATACTTGATGCTCTCGTCATTGCAATAAAACCCTCGATGGTACGGCTTGATGGTGCTTGTCTCAATGATGATGAAGGGCAGGCCCGCTGGTCAAGATGGAACCATCGCATATATCAGAAAAAAAAACAAAAAAAAGGGGAAAAACATCAGCGCCAGGAAACCAAAGAAGAACGACCCACAGCAAAGACCACCCCAAATAACAACACTGACAGTGACATTAATTCCTTGCGTTTGTAGAGCTCTACACGCTGTAGAGAGCTTCACTACATGCACCACTTTCCTGCTTTAGCCACCGCTGAGAAGAGTGTGGCACGGGGCCGGCCCCGCGGCTTAGCGGTTAAGTGCGCGCTCTGCTACTGGCGGCCCAGGTTCGGATCCCGGGCGCACACGGACGCACCGCTTGTCCGGCCATGCTGAGGCCGCGTCCCACATACAGCAACTGGAAGGATGTGCAACTATGACATACAACTGTCTACTGGGGCTTTGGCGGAAAAGGAGGAGGATTGGCAACAGATGTTAGCTCAGAGCCGGTCTTCCTCAGCAAAAAGGGGAGGATGGATGTGAGCTCAGGGCTGATCTTCCCCACAAAAAAAAAGAAGAGTGTGGCATCATCCTCTTGTCTTGTCCAAGAGCACAGAGGGAGGCAGTGGAAGAGACAGGGCAGGAGCTTTCCCACTGCTCTACAACATCCTCCTAAAAGTTAAAGCCCAGTTTATAATAATTACTAACACAGCCCCAAATCTAACGATGTCTCATTATGCCTCCTAGTGTGTTCTTCTCTAAGTCTTAACCATTTCCCCTTTGAGAAGCTCATCCTAAGGCCTTGCTGCATGGAGTATTGAAGGCCTTGGAGTCAGATCCCAGATCCACCACTTCTTAGCAACGTGACTTCTGGTTCTCACTCCAACTTCCTGAGCCTCACTTTCCCCACAAATGAGTTGTGGTGACGACTAAAGGAGAACAAAGCACATAAAACTTCTAGCACAGTGCTGGCACATAGTAGCTGCTCAATGAATGCCATTTTCAATCCTTTTCCTGCACTGTTCAAAGAGTCACTGACAAGACCCAACAGAGCTGAGCTGGGCTGTACTGCCTGCAGACCTGGAGGAGAGCCCAAGGGCATCCAGGAGCCCAAGCCACTCTCGCAGCTGCTGCTAGTTTATCAGCGGCTGGCTCAGATGCCACTCTCTTAAAGGTCACGGCAAATGGATTCCATCACCTGCCAGGAAAAGTCCCTCATAACCCTGAAGCAAAAAGTCAAAACCCACAATATCTCTTGCCTGGACACGCAATAGCCTCCAAATCGGTCTCCTGACCTTCACAAATATCCACCAGTTTCTTCCTGACCACGCACGTCCTTGCCTTGCTCAAGCCTCTTTAATGGTTCCCCATCGCACAGGATAAGATAAAGTCCTTAAGTATAACCTCCAGAGTTCCCCATGACCTGAACCTCCCCTCTCCAGACTCATGGTCTGCTGCTCCCCCTGACACATCCTCCAAGAAAACAGTCCACAGAGACTCTGTCTTGCTTGGTGCTCTTCTCTTAGACTGGAAGGTCTCTTCCTCCCCTACCACCAAGTTCAATACCAAGCCCCAATGCCACCTCACAAATTAAAAGGTGAGCCACTGATGTTAGGACTAGGGAAGACCACGAAACACATCTTGTTAATGATAACAGCCACCACTGATGAGCACCAACAACATGTAAAGTACTTTATATCCACTTTTCTGCTGAATCTTCCAGCAACACTGAGAGGCCATTTCAAAGCCTCGTTTAAGCAATACTATCGCTCACCTTCAAGTGGAGAGAACAGGGACTCAGAGAAAACATTTAGCTCATTCACAGTCTCTTAATCTCACCCCAAAATGCCTAAATCCCTAATTTAACTTTGCAAATTGGTTTCGTCCAAATGTGAATTTCATTAACTGAAAAATCCTAAGATAAGTGGTTGTTTAAAAGGTAAAATTCCATTTTCATGTTTTTCAAAAAGAATTAAATTCATGTCACGTTACTCGAAGGCTCAGACTGCCTCTTAAAAAAAAAATGTTCCATGAACTCCACAATTTTTCAATTACTTTGGTCCAGACCGGCAGCGATAAAAATGCTCACTTTCTAAAAAGTGTATTTATGTATCACTGTGCATACACACATGGATTTATTTGGTTTTATTCTTTGGATTTATTTGAATTCTATGGCTATTTATTTTGTGACCCCTAACTGCTTCCTGCTAGAACAACAATTTATTTTATCAAATTCATACTGGTGCTTTGAAAAGAGAACGGCAACACACCGCAGCACTGTGCTCGACTTTCTCAGAGTAAACACGCAGGGGCCCTGGAAGCCTATCACCATTGGCTCTTGAAACCCTGTCTGCAGTGGAGTGATGAGGGCACAGGGAGGCAGTGGACAAAGGTTCTGACTTAGAGATGGCAAGAGCAGCTAGCTGATCTTTTGGGGTTCGAGGCTGGCAGAGAAAAGATATCATATGGGCCTAAAGCATCTTCATTCCACGGCTGAAACACTTTGAAATGTGGCCAAGTTGGCTATGAAAAGTAGCTGAGAAGCCAGCAGCATGATATTAATAGTCCGCTTTTAAAGTTCCACACACCGTGATAAAATCGTTGAGCTCCATGTCCGAGCCCGGCCACAGCCTCTGTGGTGCCTACGAGCCAAAGCGTTGCTAATAAACTCAGGAAGGGAACAGACTTGAGTTCCTTCCATTTGTGCTACACTCTTAGGCCCCCAGCTTCTATTTTTAATAGTGTTCACATGATAGACCTGTAAAACATATGCTTCTAAGGACAATAAAACACATATAAAAGCTGTGGAGTTAGACAGAACTGGGTTAATGATCTCAACTCTGCTCCCTACTACTTGAGCAAGTTATTTCACACCCCCAAAAGCCCCTCTCATCTGGTTGATGGGAAAAATGAAATCTAGCTTTGGGACTGCTGGGATGATGTCATGAGTTAATATATTAATTCATTCATTTATTCAACAAATATTTAGTGAGTCTTAACTATGTGTACTAAGTACACGGAATACAAAGATGACACAAGCCCAGCTCCCAGGGAGCATACAATCTAGGAGGAGAAGTCACACATCATTGACCAAAATCAGTACAGGAAGTCACTTCAGCTGGAAGACACCAGGCAGCAGCACTGGTAATGTCGGCACAGTCTGGCACACACTGTGGACACTCTAAATGCAAGGAGGAAGAAGGGGGAGAAGTTCCACAGAGAAGGTAAGGAAAGAAAATCCGTCCGCTCAGCTCCTTTACCCTCTTCACCTGGGAGCAATCCAAATCCTTTTTCTTCCTTCCTTCTCCAAGGCTCAGGGAGGGTTTCCGGTTCTGATTATGTAGATGATGACCACAAAGAGACAAGAGTTGGATCTGAATGTGTTCTATTTATTTTCTTGAAAGGCGTGGAGACAGCATTTAGAAAACCCAATGGCTTTTCGGTCTCCCCTACAAACTTGTGGTATGACTGGGGGTGATGCCAGTCAAATCTTGACTTTGTTCCAGGAAGAGAGCAACCTCAGATCCCTTCAGTTGACGGAAAAAGCATAAACACTTCCCCCAATGGGGCAGCTGGTCCTCAAGAGACATAACATGCCTTGCCTCTCCAGGACACAGAGAATAGGCTGCTCTTTTCCAAAGCAGGGTCTCCATTTCTAATTTTGGCATCATCTTTATTAACAACCACTACAGTCCCTGGTCGTCATTTCAAGAAAATTCCCAGTGCTAGCCTCTGGGAATCTAGACGTGAATATATCATAGTGCCTGCCCTCAAGAGGCTCATGGTATTGTAACAAAGTCACAAAAACAAGTGCTCTACAATATTTCCAGTGTGAGGACTGACATACGTACAGAGTGCAACGAGGGTACAAAAGACTGCCCTACTAGAGACACGAAAGATGGCCCACAGAGGACGGGAGGCTTGACTTGTCCCAAATATGAGTAGGAGGTATTTGGGGTCCCGGCGTTAAAAGTACATCAATGAAAACTCAGTATAGTTTAGTGATTCCCATAAGGCAGTCAACAAAACTGATGGCCATTATGAGATGACAATTTTAAATCTGACTACAGAGCTGGAAGAGATACACAAGTAAACAATGAAAGGAAGAAAGGAAAAAATAGCACAGAGAATAATAATAACAGCTAACATTTACTATACAACTATTATGTGCCCAAACTGTGCTGAGGATCCCCACATAAACTACTGCAGCCTGACAACCTGGTTGCCTCTTACGTTCTAGGCACTGACTGGGCTAATGAGATGAAGGAGCTTAAGTCCCAACCTTCAGGTGGCCCAAAGGCTAATGGAAGAAACGGTCATAAAAACTAACACGTTAAGTCACCCTAAGGTTCAAAGGGATTAAAGTGACTTGCCAGAGTCCCTCTGCAAGTAAGTGGTGGAGCTGGACAGGGTTCAAATTATCTGACTCTTGGGTGCTTTCTAAAGTGAGTCACTTGGGCCGGCCCCGTGGCTTGGCGGTTGAGTGCGCGCGCTCCGCTGCTAGAGGCCGGGGTTCGGATCCTGGGCGCGCACCGACGCACCGCTTCTCCGGCCATGCTGGGGCCGAGTCCCCCGTACAGCAACTACAAGGATGTGCAGCTATGACATACAACTATCTACTGGGGCTTTGGGGGAAAAAAATAAATAAATAAAATCTTTAAAAAAAATAAAGTGAGTCACTTAAAACAGAGAGCAGGAAGCACCTATGAGTATTAATAAGTTAATTGAAGCTCAGCAAATCTCATGGTCTTTGACAAAAAAATGCTTTGTTTGGAACAGTCAAGGCAACAGCAATGGCTATTGTTCACTGAACCTTCACCATGTACCATGCACATGCTCAGTATCTAACTGAACCAAAACTCTGAAGCCAATATCCTGGAATTTAGATTTATCTATAATGAAAGGTACATTACGAGCTTTTTGCAAAGCAGAACCAAAAAGTCTGTTTTTATATATATATATAAAAAAACACACACACCATCTGGTGATTCTCGACCCAGACTCAAGCATTCTCCTTCTTTTAATCAAGGATCAATTAACTTCTTATCCTCCAGGGACCTTTTGG